CTTCTTTCTAGACGTGTTTAACTTGAAGGCTCAGGAAAACTCCACGAATTAGAATCATGTACAGTACCCAAGGTCGTTGTCCAGAGATATGAGTTTGCTAATTTAGTTAAGCCTGGATTATTAAACGCTTTTCCTAAGTTACTGTAAACAGAACAGCTTAGAGAAAGGTATTCTCGGTCCTTATATTGTACAGTAGTTTATGAACCCCCATCTCTAAATATTGGTATTTTTATATCCCAGAGATGTACCCAATAGAAAAATGAATCCGTATCTAATTTAATATCCATAAGTATTTTCCTTAGATTTTAGTCACAGTGGGGTTTTTTGTGGATTTCACCTTGCTTCACCACACTTCACCACTAGGTGTCACTGTGGCTCTGCACCGGGCTTGTCTGGTAGCAAAGAATGGCAGCATCTCTGAGAGCCACAGCTAGGCCAACAGGCGGGCCCGCAGGCTCAGAGGATCCAGGAAGGAGGAAACGAAGGCCTGGAAACGGGTCTTCACACATCTGTGCCAGTTGCGGCAGGATACACTCTTTGAACACTACCTGCTTTGGACCTTCAGCCAGGCAGAGACTGGGGGTAGGCTGACCAGATCTCTCTTGCTCTCTCTGGTGGATGGATGGGAATGTAGAAGACCCCTCCCTTCCCCATGAGCACCGCTCTCAGTTCCTCTCGGCCTCCAACTTTTATAACTACAGAGGTGTCACAGTTGGATGGTTCGATTCAAAGATAGTTATTTTTCTACTGCAGAATTGCCTTGGACAACACCCGTTGCTCACTGAATCTTTGCCACAAAAATGGAACAGGCACCCCCATGGGGCAGGGTGTGCCCAACCCCGTCCCAGCCTCAGCACCCCGACCCGCACCCCGCCTGTCTGTCCCCGGGCTGCCCACTCCTCCAAAAGCCACCCCGCAGAGACAGCTGCTGCTGCTCCCACCCCAGGCCTGTGCTGCCGGTGGCGGCGGTGTGCGTGCTGGGAGGTAGGGCTTTCTCTTCCTTCTCCTCTAGGAATTCCAGACTGACCATCTACCATGACTAACAGCAATGAACAAAGGGCTTAGGGGTAGGAGCTACCTACAAAGACGTGTCACGGAAACCTTCACCATGCAATGCCTTGAACTCAGCTCTGGCTGCTCCCAAGACGAGGTGGCTGGCTGGGGGCCTGGACGCAAGCACAATGGGGCTGGTGGAGCCGCTGTGCAGAGGTACTTGAATACTCACTGGGTCTTCATCAACTTTTATAACAGACCACTCAAGGGCTGAAGTGTTGGTAACCTGCATTTCTGTGTCCAATGCCTTGCAGCAGCTGAACCACCCTGAGATGCTTATGGCCAGCTGATGGCCACAGTCAGAGCTTTGAAAGTCAGTACCAAATGAACACGTTAATTGGACACCAAAAATCAAGTGTTACTTTCGTGTTTCTTCACCCGTTTCATCTCATTTCTTCCTGCTGACTCTGTGATATCTCCGCTAAGCTGACCTGTCAGGTTTTCGCTGGACACACACAGGTGCAGACCAGCATCCCTCTTGTTTTTTTTTTTTACGCCTACTCTGTGGAAGGAGCCTAGCTGCTTTGTTGTAGCACTCGCTGGCTGGATTTTTCTTTTGCCTAATCACTAACCAGAACACCTGGTTAGGGAGACTCGACTCAATCCCTTTGGTTCCCAGGACAAGACAGAGTTATTTCTGGAAAATTCAGTACTTGAATGTACCTGCCTTATTGTGAACCAACTTACTGGGAAAAAAATTAGGAATGCTGGCTCCAGATCTCTTCATCCTTCACAGGTTATTCTGGAAATCCTGTAAGTTACACTTCCTGTTCCAGTTTGGGTTTTTTTTTTTTGGGGGGGGGTTCATTTCTATTTTTTTCCTCTTTGGCTGATTCCTGCTGAGTGGGGCCAGTTCCTTGTCAGGCTCAGGGCAGGTGCCATTCTCAGGCATGGCCTCCTTTCCATCCAGCATAGCATCTTTGTCTCTGTTCTGTCTCCTCCAAATCCAAGATGATTTTAATTAGTACAGACCTGTACAGTCTACAATTAAAGAGTGATTTGTACTAACATGATTTTGATTCTTCCTCCTCTTTGCTGTCCTTTCAAGACACTTGCTGGAAAAAGCTTTAATGCACTTAGTTTTCCTTTAGGTTTTCTATAACTCAAATGTAAAGGACTTTCTCTGTACAGTATATTATCCAGTGCATGTTTGCTCTTTATCCTGATCTATTGAACACCACACGGTTGTGGACTCGTGCAGTGGGGATGTCCCACGCCCAGCAGAGGCATCTCGCCCCCTGTGTATAAGGAAAGACATTTTCCTTCGCTGTGCTTGCTTGAGCAGTTTTACTGTCTGTCCATGTGAGCTGTGTGAGGTAGATGTGAAAAGTTAAATGAATGCAGTTTCCTGCCATGTATACAGATCGCCATCTGTACAATGAACTGTATGTATGAAAGCAGATGTACTTATTTATAAATGGGTAACACTTGGAAAAACATGGTGTGTGGTGCTTTCTTCTTTCATTACAGTACCTCTCCAGGAACTGACTCGGGTCACCGTCACTGAGGCCCACCATGCTGAGGATGCCTCCCCAGAGACAGCTCACTGGGGCCCAATTCCTCGTGATTTGGCTGGTCGTTTATGGGATATTTAGAGTCACCCCTTTGGGCTCTTGTTCATTCAGAGAAGTTACAGAGCTCTCTTGAGAGCTGGACACTGTGAGGGGCTCAAGAGAACAGTGGACAAGACAGTCCTGAGGGCCCATCAGCCAAGGCCCACTGCGCTCATTGAGACAGAGGAGGCTCTTTCTTCCGTGGAAGAGGTCTCTCCAGCCAGGCCAAGGGAACACTGAGTTCCTCCTTGTTTGATTTTAATAGCTGAGGCTACACTTCAGTCCAGTTACCTTCCCAAAATCCAAGGCTGCCCATCAGAGCTGTTAGATTGAGAGACTGCGTGCCTGAGGCAGGGGAACAGCACCAGTTCTAGTTCCCAAGGCTGACTTGGTTAAAGCTGGAAGCCCACTGCTTCCAGTGACTTTTTTTTTCCCCCAGAAGTCTGGCCAAGGGACTTCCCTTTGGTCTGGTGGTTAAGAATCTAGCTGCCAGAGCAGAAGACACATGGTCAATTCCTGGACCTGGAAGATCCCACGTGCTGTGGGGCAACTAAAGCCCGAACGCCCCAGAGCTCCTGCTCCGCAACAAGAGGAGCCTCTGCAATGAAAAGCCTGCGCATCGCAACTAGAGTAGCTCCCACTCGCAGCAATGAAGACCTAGCGCAGCCGAAAATAATAAAATTCAATTTTAAAAAAGAAAGAAATCTCGTCAGAAATTTCCAATCCTCACCATATAGGGAATTAGGCAGCTACACTGTGGAGAGGTTACAGATTTCCGGAATCTGGCTGGAGACTCAATACCTTTCCTTAAGGACAGAGTCATGGGTTTTTCCCACCCAGCTGTGACCTGTCTGCTTCAGGGACAAGCAAGGAAGGCCACTTCCTCCCAACACCAGACTGTGATGAACAAACATTTCTGCTGTGTTTCTACATCCATTTCCCTCAAAGCACCCAACTGGGGAAACAGAACACCATGTGTGCGGTCATCCCAATCTGAATGCTAGAGCTGCCTTCAAAGAGCGGAGAACTCTGGAAGCTCAGCCTGAGCAGAAAAGATAAGTGGCTAACTGGCTGGGAGGGGGAAAAAAACAGATTTTTAAGGATTCCTGAGGCAGTGGATGAAAGGTGAAAGGAATTCCTATGAAGCTAACTCTGAACAGCTGTTGGCTCTGAACCAGACTAAAGAGCCGCTCAAGCAGCAGGAAGCACTGCCCTCAGTACACTCTTGTAGGTCTTCCCCTTGCTGTTTTCATTCCCTGACAGGTGCTCTTTGTAGTTTGACACACCATTGTGCACATATGCACATGGGCGGTCACACTCCCACAGGCCAAGGCTGAGTGGAAACGTAGCATCATCTTCTTTCACCTTTAAAAATGGGAGCTCTGAAGTTGTGTTCCTTCGGAGACAACTCTTCCATGGGCAAGAGAATTCTGTGACCTCTCGGGGTTCGCAACCCAGTGGGAAAGCGATCTCCCTTGGAGAGAGAGGCAGCCTGGAGTCTGGCACCATTTGAATATTCAAGCGCAGAGACCCTTAAAATTCAGAAGCTGGTGCAGAAGCCGTAAGAGAGATGGCACACTCACTGAGTCAGGATGCCTCTGCCCTCGCAGACAGCCACCCTGAACCTGACCGAGGTCCCCTCATGGCATGCAGCAGGCCACATGGTTCATGTTCAGGCTGCTAAGCAGATGAAGGTCCACGACACTGATTCAGGAGGCTCTACAGATGGATCAAGCAAAGACCTCTCAAGCTCTGGCCCAGACATGCTAAACACCAGATTTGATACAGAAAAGAAAGTGCTAAGGAGTAAGAATCCATGTCACCAAAGGATGACTTCACCTTATCAGAGGATGTGCTGTAGGGTCCCTTTCAATAGTGGACCCCGAGTAAGTTTCCATGAAGTGACAGGAGCAGGTGTTGCCTCCTGGTGAGATCTGAGGTCACACCCAGCTTGTTGGAAACACATTTGCCTGACCCTCAGGGATTGATCGAAAGTGGAATCTCCGCTTGTTCTCAAAGCTTTGCTCCTCTTAAGAAATGAAGAGACATATTTTTGTTTTTTGAGACATTTTTAAAACAAAAAAGGTTAATGGAATATGCAGGGCAACTTCTTGCCAAGGTCGCGTCAGGCTCTTGCGGTTCTACCCCCCAGGACACCCTGTCTGGAAAGAGAATTTCTCTAACCCTTTGGAAGAGCCTCCCTCACTGGGTCCAGAGCGAGGACCATTTCAGGGCCTGTAGTGCTCTGAAGTGATAAACAGCATGAGTCACTACTTTCTGTGCCCAGCCTGGGGATATGCAGTTTCTCTCGACCCTGGTAGGCAAACTTCACGTATCTGCTAAAAGAGCTGGCTCCTTTTACTGCCACAGGAAATGAAGATAACAGGCCAGAGATCTGCTGTAGACATTTATTGAATCATCTGTTGTGCCAGCACTACACTGTACTTCATTGAAGATTGGCCACAGGCAAAATAAAACAAGCCACCACGGATCAGCTTGGCTGGGGGGGGCGGGGGGGGGGCTTTTTGGCTCATTAGTTATCCAGCATATGCTTTGGAAAACAGGCCAGTGTTCAGACTATTTTCTTTTTTTTTTTTTTTGCAAATCCAAGGTTCTGTTTCTGTGCCGTTCTGGCAAGGGAGATACATAGTCCTAACCTGGTAGTTGGTCTAAGGTGGAGTTTTCCCACGGGTAAACATCCTATACCAGGTGATCAAAGAACAGTGTAAACGGCGTGGGGGGCGGGGGGCGGCTGCAGCAGAGCCGGGAGCGCCCACGGGGTGGGGGTGGGGAGCAGGCAGCCCTGCTGGGGAGGGCGCCCACCACCGCCACCTGCCCCGAGGAGCGGCATCGCCTGAGGCAGGACCCACGGCAAAGGCCGAGTTGTAGGAATCTGAGTGTTAGAGGCGATAAGCCCCCTTTCTCCAAGGCAGCATTTAGCTGGGAGAGGCAGCTGCTGAAAAACGGTAGTCAGAACTGGAAATTTTATTAATGTCTTAAGTCAACTCTGTCTTGTCTGAAACTGTGTCATGTTCCTCAAAGCCCAGAAAATGAGGAAAACAGGAGACAGCATTTGCCAAGTCCAAGAAGCACAGATCAATGCTCTAATCACGTTATTTCTAGACCAAAGGCAAACAGCGACTCAGCTAACAGCGTTACACACTCACGGGGTTGGGGGAGGGGATTAATCTGATTCCATCTTGGTCCCAACTTCCTGCAAAGACCCACTGCAGGTAGGAGAGGAGGAGACCGTCCTCCCGAACCCTCCTCATGGAAATCGAAAGGGGGCACCTTATCCTTTTCTAGCGGCAGCTTTTGGTTTAACGGGAAAAGGCGTGTGCCCTCTTGTCAGAGCAGCCTCCCGTGAGGTCCGAGGATCAGGAGTGGAGGCCTGGGCCTTCGGGGACAGAAGCCCCTGCAGGTGGCCCAGCGCCCCCCCAGGCCCACCTCCAGCCTCTTCTCTGGGCTGCCCTCTGAAGGGGCTCAGGGCAGGTTTGTCCCAAGTCTATGGCCCCCAAGGCAAGCCGCCCCGGGGCTAAAGGGTTAAAGAAAGGGAAGGCTCCAGAACGCAGCTGGGCCGAAGCCTGGGTCCAGAAAGTCCCAGGGAGTCCCTCCCCTCTCCTGGGGAACCTGGCCCTGATACCAGCATATTTCACATATAATGTCACTAGCTCCGCTGCCAGAGGCTGGGCCCCTTCAGAGCGCCGGTCCTCTGGGCCGCAAGACTCCTGGCAGGAGTTCGGGGTCACACAAAGCAAGTCTCAGCTTCGCTGCGGCCTCGAGGAGGGAGCGCCCCCCACTCTCGGACACGTTTAGGCCCAGAGCCTTACCCAAAGCAGCTCCATGTTGGGAAGGAAGTCGGGTGGCAACAGGGGCGGGGGGACGCATGCTCAGGCCTAACAACGGCAGCAGCCGCAGCGCGGGGCGGGACGCGGAGGGCCCTGAACCCCGAAAATCAGCGCTCAAGGAGCAGGACTGCCCCCACCCCCCACCTCCGCTGTGCCCAGCCCTGCCCGGACCCTCAGCGGCGGTTGCGGGACGGACCCCCGTCACTGGGAGCTGGGGCTGTCACCCTCCGTCAGCGTCTTGAAGTCCATGGAGAGCGCTTGCTCTTCCGCCTGGAGGGGCCGCTTCCAGTCGGCGCGGGTCAGGATGTAGAGCACGACCGTGGCGAAGGCGGCCAGCAGCAGGCCCAGCACGTTGGCCAGGACGCCCTCGGGCTCGAACGTGCTGTACTTGGTCCTGCGGGGTTGGGGCGCCGCCCTTAGGCCCAGAGCTGTGCGCCCCAGCCGGAAAGCCGCCCTGGGGTCCCAAGCCCGCGCCCGCCGCCCCCCGGGAGAAAAGCCCCGGCTCGGCGGCCCCGCACAGAGCCACCGGGAGGGGGCGCTCACCCGAGCTCGAACAGCAGCGCCTCCTTCAGGCCCAGCAGGGCGGTGGCCACCGAGAGCAGGAAGATGGCGGCACCGAAGAAGACGTGCTGCGGGCGGTAGCGGCTCCGCAGGGAAAACGAGGCGCCCGGGAACAGGAAGAAGCTAAAGCCCACGAGCCACTGGGAGGAAAGGCGAGGTGCTGCCGGAGCCCGAGCTGCGCCCGCTCCGCGCAGCCCGGGGACGCCCCGGGCGCACACCTGGCCACGGCTGGTCCGGGCCCTGCTCCCCGCCCTCCCCGCCGCCGTGGGGCCGAGGACTCACCTGCACGAAGAAGAGCGCGAAGACCAGGATGCCGCACCAGCTGTGCAGGCTGTACAGGTCGGCGTAGCCCTCCTTCCTGTGGTGGTCGAACACCGCCACCAGGCCTGGCGGGAGGCAGGGGGCACGTGAGGACACGGCCGACGGGGACGGAGGGGATGCGGTGACCCGAGGGAAACCTGCCTGGCCGGGACTTCTGGGCTCCAGTCCCGGCTCGGTGGCTGCCAACACCCAGTGTCCCTGCCTGGGGGGGTGGGGGGGACTGGAGAGTGAAGCAGCTACTTTCCCAAGTCAGCAGAGGTGGAGGAAGGGCGCACCGGCCCCCAACTCACCCACCAAGGCGATGACGAAGGCGAAGACGTGCAGCAGCCCGTGCAGGACTTTGGTGGTGCGTTTGGCCTCATTCCTGAAGACCCGGTAAACCAGCAGGGCTTGTGGGCCGTGAGAAAGGGAAGGTCAGCGCGCTAACCTCAGCCTGCAGCCCTCCGGCCAGGGCAGCGAGGAGACACACCCCCGGCTGCAGAGGGGACCTGAGTCTAGGGCTTGTCCAGGTACCCCAGCCACAAGAACCGGGAAGGAAGCAAGGCTCCTGTGCCCTCCCGCCCCCACCCCGCCGCTTCTTATCAGCTGTCCCCGGGTATTCCCGGCTCTGTTTTAGGCTCATCAAGCAGGCACTCCAAGGTGCCACGTACTTCTGAGTTCACCCCTGAGCCTTGATGGTCCTCAGTTTGTCCAGCACTGAAGCCTGATCATAGATCCACTACTTTTAGCAAGCAGGCTCCCTGGTTGGGAAACCCCTGGTTCTCAAAGCAGAACCTTGTGATCCCAAGTGAATTCTCCCTCTTCCCGCTGAGGTGGTCAGGGCCAGGGGGCCTGGGGAACACCTCTTAGGAGTCTGCTGCTGAAGGGGTTGCTGACACCGGGACCACCTTGAGGAAGAATGCGTAGATCCAGCTTTCTTGATACTAGAAGGCCATGGCCCCCTGGCTTTGAGGCAGAGTGCATGGCCAACCACAGGCTGGATCCTACCCCAGAGAGAGGAGCTCTAGCTCTGCCAAGTTCATCATCTCCCCAGACACACACACACACACACGCACATGCTGTCTTGCTCACCACCTAGCCCCTGGGCCTCCCTATATGAAGCACACACACCCTTGGATGCTCCTTGCTGAAGCACGAGGTGAAAGAGCTAGGATAAGTCAGAAAAGAGTTGCCACCCAGCAGCCTCGGGGGGCCCTGATTTGGATTCCCAGTGTCCCTAGGCTCTGAGCCAGCTTCCGGAGTGAAAGGGTCCCTCAAACCCGCTCCCAGGTGGTGTCAGCCAGAGACTCACCGTCTCCCTGCAGGAAGACCAGGCCTATGATCATGCAGAGGGGGTGCACGTTGAACTGTAGGGCGCTCTCCCAGGCAATGCCGCCTCGGTACATACCAAGCCAGGCGCCAGTCATGGCCACCACAATCAGGCCCAGCAGCTGGGAGAAGGCCACGTAGTAGGGCAGCGCCCCGGGGGCGGGTGCTGGGCTGGCAGGGCCCTCCATGCTGAGGCGGCTACTGTGGAGAAGATGGCAAAGCTCAGAAGAATGGCTCACAGCTTCCAAAGATACGCCCCATGCCTGGCCCTGCCGCCTCCCTCTCAGCCCACTCCCCTGGCCTCTGTGCTCTTATAGCCAGCGCCCAGCCCAATGGGAGGGGCCTGGCTTCCTGCAGAACCGGACCGCACCTGGCTGCACTTCCACCTGCAATGAGGGTGCAAGTCAAGCTCCTCCACGTTCTGGGCAGAGCAGGAGGGCCCCATGGCAGTGCTTTCTGTTTCATGAAGCCCTGGGTTTTCTCAAGTCAGGTTCATGGGTAAAAGAAGAGAAGTGAGCACATTCCTTGAAGATGGAGGAATTTTTCCTCCAGATGAACCATAAAGGGCACCTGGGGTGAGAAATGGGAGCCTGACTCCCCCTGGCCTGCTGTTTCAGCTCCAGCCCCAGGTGAGAGAAGTCCTGCCGACAGGGCAGCCCCCAGCAGCGTGGCAAGCAGCCAGTGGAGGGATGTGCTCTGAGCTGCTTCGCCAGGAAGGACCTGGGAGACAGGAGCCTTCAAGCAGCCCTTTGCCTTCCTGCCTCCACCTGCTCCTCCCGGCCACACCTGGCGCAGTGGGCCTGCACTGCTCCCAGGCCAGGCTTCCTGAACTGAGCCCTCCAAGGTAAGAATGGACTCCTGGGGTCATGTAGCTTGCAAGGACTCGGTGAGAGAGCATGCGTGTCACCGCTCCATCCAGCAGACAAGGAATGGGGGCAGAAGGGAGGGGAGAGGTCTCAGTGGGGCTCGGGGAAGCCAAGCTCAGGGACCAGTGGGAGGCATTTCCCAGCTCCTCTGCGCAGTCCTCGGTGTCGCCAAAGCCAGGCCCCAGCTCCGAAAGGCCTGTGTGCCAGCTCTTCACCCGGAACCTGCTGGTTCTTCCCACACTCGGGCGGGAGTGGCAGCCAGGGGGGATGGGAGGAGAGGAGGCAGTGGATAAGCAAGTATAGCCTTGGTGCCAGCGTCCTGTGGCCACAGAAAGGCTCCGCCAGGGCTCCCAGGGGGCCCAGCACTCCATTCCCCTGGCTTGCCTCTTGCACTACCCCAGCCTCTCCCAGTGGCCCTGGAGACACCCTCCTTCTCCTTATTACCGGCAGAGAACAGCAGCTGAGCAGAGAGATTTGACTAATACGTTGTGGGATCCTTCCTAATACGTACTGAGCACAGTGGGTTTCCTGGTGGCTCAGACAGTAAAGAATCTGCCAACAAACTTAGGTTGAGTCCCTGGGTGGGGAAGATCCCCTGGAGAAGAAAATGGCTACCCACTCTAGTATTCTTGCCTGGAGAATCCCATGGACAGAGGAGCCTGGTAGGCTACAGTCTGTGGGCTCCCGAACAGTCAGACGCGACTGAGTGACTGACTTTTCACTTTCACTGTTCACCCTCTACCCTGTGCAGCTCAAGAGAGCTAGTGTCCGGTCGATCAGGCCGTGTCCTCCTGGTGAGCGGACCGTCTTTACCCCCACTTCCCTCTGCCACCTTGGACTACTGTCGGCAGTGCCACCGTTTTTTAAAGAGGGGGGGCAGGCAGTGTTGATAACCCACTCCCTGTAGTAAAATACAGATAAGCAAAAAAAAAAACCAAAACAGAAATTACAAGTAATCAATGTTTTGATTTATATCCTTTTCATACTTTCTTTTACAGAAACATGACCATACCAATTTCTAACCTTTTTTCATTTATTCTAGACCACGCACATCTTTTCATGTCAGTGAACATACATCCACATAATGGTTGTCTTATTACATGACAGTTTCATATTTTAACCAATCCCCTATCTCCTGTTAAATATTTAGTCAGGTTTCAACTTTTCACTAAGTAAGCAACACTACATTCTCATCTCTGCACACCTGTCTTAATTCCTAAATGGGATCCTGAGCAAGGGCTAGGTTCTTTTTTTAGATTTTGGATACATTCTGTCAAAACACCTTCCCAAAGCACCCCCATTGCAGGTGGGAACACCTGCTTCCAGAAGCCCTGGACACAGTGATGCCAGCCTTCAGGAACTCTTGCTTGCTCATCTGTCACCTCGACCCCTACACTGGAGGCTGCTGAAACTACTGCCAGTCTGCCTCTCCTCCAAATTTGAACCCCATTTCTAGCTGTCCACTAACACCTCTATCTGGACATCCTCCAAGCACTTCAAGGTCAGCACATCCAAAGCCACATTGCTCTCCTGACCTCCCAGGTCATCAGTGTGGCCGTCTCCCCCAGGTCTCGCCATCACTTCCCTCCCAGCCACCTTCATTGCCACCACCCAGCAGGGCCTGGAACTTCTGCCCCCATCTCCCTACCCTCCTCGGCCTGCCTGACCCTCGGGGACAGACAGAGCCAGCTCCCCAGTCGTGATGCCCTCCAGGCACAAAGGGCCGCCAACTCATGATGGTCAAACGCCAGCTCCTCAACCGATCCCGTCCAGGTTTCCACCCGCAGCCGCCACCCTTTCCCTGCCAAGTCCACTGGGAGGAGATGCTCCCGGCCAAGGCTCTGACAGCACAACCTGGTGGTAACCCGTCCACCTCACGCTCCCCCATGCTTCGCTTCGCCCCACGACCTGAAATGGGCATTTTGTTCGCCTTTCCCCTCCTCTGTGGCCCCAAGGCTGGCCTAGGGCTCACTTACCCCGGTCCTGCGCTGCGCCAAGCCCACGTGGGCCTCTCTGCTTCTGAGCCCTGTGAGCTCCCTGCAGGCAGGGACTGCGTCCGCCTCCCCCTTGGGCGTCCTCAGGGATCTGATCCCCTGCGCTGACTCCAACAGGAAGACTGTTCTGAATAAAGAGATGCTGTCCTCCTCTCCTTTATTAGATTCCTCTTGAGAGCCCAGGCACAGTCAGAATCTGATTAGCTCTGAATTAGGAAGAACGGAAAGAATGGGCTCTGCCCCAGCCGGCCTACCAGTCTGCCTGCCCATTAGATAGCGAGGACAGAGGGGGGTTCAGGGCTGCAGAGAACGGCACTCCTGGGTCCTGAGCCGCTTCGCTGTGACACAAGCCACAGCCAGCTTTTTCCCTTCCCAAGCGGTCTCATCATGAGATGGGCACTTCTTAGCCGTGGCACTCTGATTTATAATAAGAAATGTATGCAACAAAGCATCTAAAACCGTAGGAATTTTCAATGTGAAGAAAGCTGTAAACGTTTCTTTTGTTATGTTAATATTACATTATGTTAAAGAGCCCCTAGAAAACTGGGGAATGGTTACCAGGGGAACCAACCTCAGGACCGGAGGGTTGGAACTTTCAGTCCCACCCTTGACCTCTGGGGAGGGAGCGGGGCTGGAGATTGGATTCAGCCAGGAGTGTCCAATGATTTAATCAGTCGGGCCTGTATAACGAAGCCTCCTTGAACCCCCAAAGGACAGGGTTTGGAGAGCTCCTGGGTTGGTGAACGCATCCACGTGGTTCCTCGGGGACAAGCTTCAGTGCTCCAGACCCTTCCAGATCTTACCCCACTTACCTCTTCATCTGGCTGGGATTTTTTTTAATAATAAACCAGAAATGTAGCAAATTTCTCTGAGTTCTGTGAGCTGCTCTCCCAAATTAATTGAACCCGAGAAAGGGGTCATGGTAAGGTCTGATCTGTAGCCTGTTAGTCAGCAGCACAGGTGACAACCTGGACTTGCAGTTAGCATCTGAATGGGGTCAGGGGACAGTCTCCTGGGACTAAGCCCTTAACCTGTGAGATCTAACCCTGTCTCCAGTTAGGTAGTGTCAGTGTTGGGTTAAACTGTAGGACAGGGACTTCCCTGGCAACCCAGTGGTTAAGACTTCAAGCTTCCAATGCAGAGGGTGCAGGTTTGATCCCTGGTTGGGGAACTAAGACTCTTCATGCTGCAAGCTGTGCCCGAAAAAAAAGAAAAAAATTGTAGGACCCCCAGCAGCGTCCGCTGAGAAATGGAGACTCACTTGGTGGTGCTGAAAACACCAAGGAACAGTGTGATGACAAGACGTGGCTTTAATGTCCTCACTGAAAACTTCGTGAGTTCCCTTGGGAGTCTGAACCCCAGTGCTGTCAGCACTCCAGTGCTGTTTGCACCCTGAGGTGGTAGCCTGGAGATGGGAGCTTTGGGGCCTCAAGGGCGGGAGCCCTGCTCTCCTCAGCTCTTCCTGAGTTCTCTCAGTCTTCACAGTAATCTGTGATGATAACAGGATTATTACCCCCATTTGACACGTGAGTAAATTGGGACTCAAAGAGGATAAATAGTGAAAGTGAAGGTGTTAGTCACTCAGTCGTGTCCGACTCTTTGTGATCCCAAGGACTGTAGCCTGCCAGGCTCCTCTGTCCATGGATTCTCCAGGGAAGAATACTGGAGTGGGGAGCCATTTGCTTCTCCAGGGGATCTTCCCAACCCAGGGATCGAACCCAGGTCTCCTGCATTGTGGGCAGATCCTTTACCATCTGAGCCAGCAGAGAAGCCCAAGAGGATTTTGTTGCAGGTGATTTTGGACAAGAGGATAAATGACTTGTCCAAAATCATCCGCAGCAAAGAGCTGCTCAACTCAGTTGTTTATCAAGTGCCTGCAAAGCAGTTGCCACACTGCTGGATGCTGGAACATAGAGACGAGACGTGGCCCCCGCCTTCCGGGGCCTTGCAGACAAGAGGCAGAGCAGAGGCAGATTCTAGAGTAAAGGGCCCCTGAGTAAATTCCGCTGTGCACGCTGGATCCGCGCTGGAGTGGCCATCCTACAGGGGACGCCCGCTAGGGGTGTGGCTCTGCGCTTTCTAACGCCAGCAACTAGGTGAGAGGTGACAGCTTCCTCAGCACTGAAGCCAGGATTCAGAGGACCTGACTCTGCTCGGAAGCACGGCCCTGGGACAGCCTCTCCCTTCCCATGCCATCCTCCTGGGCCCTCCTCAGCCCCTCGAGGACCCACTCGAAGGCAGCTCAGACCCACCATGACTTCAAGCATTGGTGTCCCCCGTGGGCTTTCTGGGGAGAAAAGGCTACAGGTAGAAACGGGCGGGTTAGAGAGAAGAGGTGACGGGGACAGACTACTGCAGGACCTTCATGACAGCTGCTCCAGAGGCATCTCTCCTGGTTACTTCGCCCCAGGAACGAGGTATCCCAGAGGAAGTCAGAGATGAAGAATGACCATGGACTCACAGAAACCTAAGCAGTTTCCCCTGTAGACCCTTCCAATCTGAAGGTGATTCTAAACCTGAGTATGAGGGATGACAGGAAAACACAAAGGAGAAAGGAACCTGTAGGTTCCCCTCAGCTGAACTCACAGCCAATAAGATCTAAGTGAAAAAAATCCAGATATACAGAAAAGACAAAGCATCGAGCGGATTCTGTGCTTCACGGAAAATGAGCTGAGACCCCTTCAGCAGCATAACTGCCTATCACTTCTTCGGTTCAGTGTAACTGACAGCACATCTCTCTGCACAGATGGGCTGCTTCCAGCGACGAGGGGTACAGAGAAGATACTGCAAGGACTCGAGTTGGAATCCGACTCACCCACAGACACGGGTGCATCTGCTAACCCTGAAATCAGTTGGGATTCACTCCCTAGTAAGCAAATACCTTTGAATCCTAGCCCTGCATTTCCTTCTCTCGCCCTTCCCTCTTTCCTGACGGTGGTTCCTCAGAACACTGGCAGCTTTGGGGCCTCCTGTGTTCCCAGAGCCGCCATGCAGGCAGCAACGTCAAGGGCCTGGAAGCAGCCCACCGAGCTTCCTTGGCCCAAAGGTTTCCTTGGCCCACCAGACCGAGCGCCTGTGCGGGCTCGTGTGGGCCTTACCCGGCTGCCCTCCTTCCCGTCAGAGCACAGCATGGGGATCTGGGGTCTCTGGCAGCTTCTGGAACCTCGGGCTGTGACATCACCCCACCCTGCCCCCACACACCTGCAGCCAGACCCCACTTAACTTGATCAACCAGGGCCAGGAGCTGCCGCAGGGTTTGAACGTGCCAACAAGCATCGCTCTCCCTCCCTGAGCCCGGGGGGCTTCACTGAAAGGCCACCAGGCCTAATCTCATTATGAGGACCAGACACCACACACGTCCACAGCCTGGAAGCAGCAGCCTGGCCTGGCCACAGACCTTATCGGCAGCAGCGTTTTAATTGGGTTAGAAAAGATTTTGTTGGGGGCAATCTTTTCTTGGGTACAAGGGGTAAATGACTCAATTGTCTTAGAATGTCCTCAAATGTGATGAAAGACAAGGCAAAATGAGGGCTGGGCTGTTAGATGGGGCCGTTTCTTACCACTGGCACCCAAGTAAGCCCCAGGAAGGAAGGT